AATGTAATTACATGTATAGTAGTGCAACTGGTTGTGCTAGCGTAGCAAGGCTCTTATGGTGCAATTGCAAAACCAATAACATATCCAGCCTACTATATAAGTTTATTATAATTATATGTTGTTAAGAACCAATCTCCATTGATTTTACTGCTGGGACTCACTCTAAATATTGCTTCTGTTTACTGCTGTTTATTTACTCTATTATTTAATGCAACAATCAATGGCCTTCATCTCCGTGGACCTGCCTTATGCTTCAGGTTTCAGAATGACAAAAAAAAAAAAAAAGACTGGAGAAACTTCCGCTTTATTCCACCACAGAATGCCTTTGTCATGATAAAAGAGAAAATCTTTGCTTCATCTGTCAGAAGTTGCACTGTTTATGGGCTATGCATTCCCAGAGCACTTTCTAAAGCTATGGGATATCCAAAATTCAAAGTGTTTGTGCACAATGTTCTTTTGATCCTCAAAAATCTTATTCATGAAAGAAGACAGAAATATCATAGAGAATGACTCTATGGTCACACTAACAGATTATTCTTTTTGACATGAACGAGCAAAATCAAAATCTGTGCTGGGAGAGGTGGGCACAAACCAGGCTATTTTGTCTCTACTAGTGGTTACAATCCACACACATTGTGATATCTACTCATTCACAGACTATGTTTAATTAGTCTTAATTAGACGACTGTGAATTCGTATTTATCTCACAACCTCACAACCTTAGGCAAAATACAGTGAAAAAAATTAAAAATCAAATCAAATCAAATTTTTCAGCACATAATATTAGATAGTTTTATTAGATAGCACGTTTCATGACACTTTAATAGTAAAATGTCCAGTGAGTGGTACTAAAACAATGTTTAGTTTTATTAACATTTTATAAAGCTGGTTGTTGTACATAAAGCATTTAGAAAATGAAATGTCTGGTGAGTGGAGGAAAAAAATGCTCCAATGCATTTGAAAATAACCTACAGTAAATCCTACCTAAACTTAGCCAATAGTGTTAGCAACAGCGAATGTTAGATGAAACACATTTGCTGAAGCAGCCATGACATTTTAGAATGCCTCTACAAGTCTTTGAGCTCTTGTTTCACAGAACTCATACCCGAGTGCTATGCATCTCAAGTGCAATGCTGCACAAGGTGAGCTACCAAGCAAGTTTACTACATCAGAAAGGCCATACATATGGAGCTGGTTATGTGGTGCAAACATCACAACGTGTTAGTTTACAAATCATCTGCATGGTAATCATAATTTAAATAAATGTGAGTAAATGATAACATAATTTTAGTTTTTGGGTGAACTGTACCTTTAAGAGTGAATTAGTGTAAAACGTCTCCACGTTACGTATGTAACCATGGTTCCCCGAAGGGAATGAGATGCTGCGTCGAACGCTTTGGGAACGCCCTCGGCGAGACACCGTACTGAAGCCTGTGTGAAATCAGTCCAATAGCGAAGCAATGCGTCACGAGCAGGGTGACGTAAGCAGCCAGGAAGCATAAAGGCACATCCGGCCAGCGCACCTGTTAGCTTTTGCTCTTCAGCGAGCGCGTCTGTGGTGTGTGTGTGAATGTATGCAAAGCACTCAGTCAGTAAAAGAAAGTTAAGCAAGAAAATCAAAAAAGAATGTGGCGAGCGGACGGCGATTCAAGTCGTGTTTTCCTCCTTGCCCACGTTATATCTCGGGTGAGGATACACACGATTTGTGCGTCATCTGTTTGAGAGCGGAGCATGCACGGGCAGCTCTCGAGTGGGCTGCCTGCCACGATTGTGAGCTTCTCCCGCTCCATGTGCTTCGCTCCCGCCTGGCCGTCTTCGATGAAAGCGGCCAGGCTCGCGATCCTGCTGGGTCCGGCCCCGCTGTTGCTGAGGCACAGCGGCGGCTGTTATCGTGGGGATCGCAAGTGGATTTAGCGGAGGGATCCGAGACGGGCTCGTCCTTATCTCGTATTCGTCCCGACTCTTTAGCCCCTCTGTTGATAATTATTCGAACATTACGGGGCTAAATGAGAAGGGATATGGGGCGGTGCCGGCGGTGGAACAGACGCTCGCGAGCTATCTGTCCCCGTCCTCAGCATCGTCCCTGAAGGCCCCGAAGCTTCCCACCAGGCCAGTAAGACTAACATCCAGCCTGGTTGGGAAAGCATATACGGCGGCAGGTCAGGCTGGTGCATGTCTGCACACTATGGCGGTGTTGCAGGCGTACCAAGCCGACCTGCTAAAAGACCTGGATGCTAGGGAGGGAGAGGAATCTGACGCAGTCGCCGAAATGCGTCGGGCAACAGATCTGTCGCTTCGGGCCACCAAGGAAACGGCCAGAGCCATCGGCCATTCCATGGCAGCTCTCGTGACCACGGAGCGACACCTGTGGTTGAATCTGTCCGAGTTACAAGATAAGGACAGATTCATCCTGCTGGATGCCCCGCTATCACCTTCTGGCCTCTTCAGCGGCGCAGTAGACACTGTCGTCGAGAAGTTTCAGGAGGCGAACCAGAGGGGACCGTGCAATATCATCTGAGTTGCAAACAAGTCCACCTGAGCCTTGCCAAAGACTCTCCAAGTCTGCTTCACCCCACGGGGTGAGGCATCTATTCCCCGGGCCTCGGCCCCTGCCTCGACAGGATGTCTGTCCCCACATATATAACAGACCACTGCTGTATTGTCGGTGCACACCAACACATAGCAATCTCTTAGGCCTGGGAGGAAGTGTTTCAAAGCTAGAAACATGGCCAGCAACTCCAGTCAACTTATGTGCCATGTGAAATGACGGCCGCTCCACAGGCCGCGGGCCGAGCGGCCACTCATGACCGCTCCCAAACGGTAAGAGATGCATCCGTCGCTAGCATATGCAGCGACCAGGAGCTCCCAGCACTAAGCCCGGAAATAAGAACCAAGGTTTCCTTCACATGTCTAAGGCACGTAGGCACCGCCGCGTGACCTTGAGCATGCAAAGCGGGTTTCCCCTCGGGGAGAACCCCTTGGTCTTAAGCCACTACTATAGGAGTCTAATGTACAGCAGGCCAAAAGTAACCACATTGGACGTGGCTGCCATCAGACCCAGCAGTCTGGAACTGCTTGACAGTGAGTGACCAGTCTTCTCTCGCGACGAGGATCGACTTAATCCGAGCAGGAGACATACGTGCCTACATCGTGGTCGAATCCCACACCATGCTCAGATAAGTGGTTCTCTGTACTGGAGAAAGCACACTTTTCTTGGCATTAAGTCTTAACCCCAGCTCTTTCGTGTGAGCGAGAACGTCATCTCAATGTCGAACTGCCATCCACTCTGATACTGATATACAGCTAATATCAACCAATCGTCGATGGGGTTGAGTCGTGAAAGTGTGGGGTGAGAGTGCAAGGCCAAAGGAAGAACTCGGTGTTTGTAAGCTTTTTCCCCCAAAAGCAAACATCAGGAACTTCCTGTGATGAGGAAGGATGGAGACATGTGCATCCTTTAGATTGATCGTGCCAAACAAGTCCTCGGACTTGATCTGAGACATGACTTGTTTGAGTGCAAGCGTGCTGAACTTCAGTCGCCTGACTGGTTCAAATGACGGTGAGAGGAGGACGTTTTAGACGGAGACTATCCAGTGTGAACGACGGTGCGCAGAACCGCCTTCCGCAATAAGCCTTCAGCCTGGGAGCACCACTGTAACTCTAGATTCTGCAGAGTACAAGAAGTGACGCCCCCCAGAATGAGGAGCTGGTACATGGTAGGTTGAGACTGCTCCCGCCCAGCAGCCCCTGCTGACCACCTTAACCTCCTCAGAGGAAGAGAGGTAAACATGTGCTCTTACTCGAGAATTTTTTATCCCAAGAGCCCCTGTATATCTAACTTCTCATAGTTAGATGAATACTTCATTTTATTCCTCAGAATCAAATGCAATCAAACAACCCAACGAGTAAACATGGTCTGGTGTGATAAGATTCATTTCAAAAATCGAAAATGATGTAATACACGCGTTGCCTCGGCAGCGCGCGAGCCGCTTGGTCACACAATCAATATCAATCTCCTCGGAGAAAAATAGTCGCAGCAGCAGAGCTCTCACTCAGAGGGAGAAACCGCAGCGCGGACTTCCGAGCCTCGAGAGAGAGTGCTGGATCTAGGGAGTGCGGGCGGAGAAAGGGCGAGCCGTCTCCAACCCATCCGCTAGATCCACGTGTGATCACCGCGATCTGAATCGCCGCCGTGCCTTAGCAATAGCGGGACCGAACCGCGAGCTCGCAAGCACGGACACACTTCTCGGAGCGTGCCCGGTGGGAGCGGAGCGTTCAGCGGGGAGAAGCACAATCAGCCTCTT